CGGCTGGCAGCGACCGTGGGCCGGGCCGCCCGCCCCGCTGCCCGCAGGCCGCGATCCGACGGCGTCCGCTCGGACCCCGCGGGCAGGAGTCTGTGAGACTGATGTCCAGCTAGCCCCCGAGCCGGACGCGGCGCTGCCAGGAAGCTCAGGAGGGCGGCCCCCAACCCGGGGCACACCAGAGGCTCTAGCCAGCCCCCGCCCCCCTCGTCATACACACACACACGCGCGCGCAGGTGCCCACACGCACACGCATGCCCACGCACATACGCACAGATGTGAACACAACACGCAGGTGCCCGAGTGTGCACACACACACGCAGATGCCCACGTGCACATACACACGCAGGTGCCCACGTGCACACACACGCAAGTGCCCACGTGCACACACGCAGGTGCCCGAGTGCGCACACACACACGCAGGTGCCCGAGTGTGCACACACACACGCAAGTGTCCACGTGCACATACACACGCAGGTGTCCACGTGCACACACACGCAGGTGCCTGAGTGCGCACACACACACGCAAGTGTCCACGTGCACACACGCAGGTGCCCGAGTGCGCACACACACACGCAGGTGCCCGAGTGTGCACACGCAGGTGCCCGAGTGCACACACACGCAGGTGCCCGAGTGCACACACACGCAGGTGCCCACGTGCACACACGCAGGTGCCCGAGTGCGCACACACACACGCAGGTGCCCACGTGCACACACACAGGTGCCCGAGTGCGCACACACGCAGGTGCCCACGTGCACACACACGCAGGTGCCCGAGTGCACACACGCAGGTGCCCGAGTGCGCGCACACACACGCAGGTGCCCACGTGCACACACACAGGTGCCTGAGTGCGCACACACGCAGGTGCCCACGTGCACACACACGCAGGTACCCACGTGCACACACACGCAGGTGCCCGAGTGCACACACGCAGGTGCCCGAGTGCGCACACACACACGCAGGTGCCCACGTGCACACACACAGGTGCCCGAGTGCGCACACACACGCAGGTGCCCGAGTGCGCACACACACACACACAGGTGCCCGAGTGCACACAGTGTGACGCGTCCGCCCTGGAGGAGGCCGGGGCGGGTGAGGGCCGCGGCCTCCGGCCTCCTCGCTGGGGGTCTGCGCCAGAGAAGCAGCCCCCACACTCAGGCTGCCCTGGCTGACTGAGAGTAACCCCTCCAGGCTGCTGGCGGCCTTGGCCATTTGTTTGGCTTCCGTTAGAAAAGCAATTCCCGGTGCGCCCCCACATCTGAGGGGCACCCCAAGCACCATGCTCTCAGACGTGCCTCTGACACCCAGCAACTCTCCAACTAGTGTGTGGACAGATGACACAGTCCCTTGTAGTTGTGTTCTAGTACTTTGGGTCAAACCCGTGGCCTCTGACCCTGAGGTCAGCCAGTGAGTAGATCAAGGAGGTGAACAGGTGGCTGGGGTTGGCATCTTTGCCAGACATGTCCCCTGGACCCTGGTCTGGTTGGGTATCAAGGCTAGGCAGAGTAGGAGAGGGCTACAGTCAGGAGGCCAGAGGGAAGGGCTGGAAAATTACCACACCAGACAAGGCCTGGGACTCAGCAGACTGTCAGGAGAATACATTTAAAACATGAGAGTTAAGAGGATGTGGGATGTGTGGCCCTAGCAAAGAGCCAGTTACAGAAACTGCCAAGCATAGAAAGGCTCCATCCCTGTTCCAGTGACACAGGCTCTCCCCATCTGTGATTTGGTACAAACTAAATCAGATTGATCACAATGTTATCAAAGCAAGAATGACAGAAACCTCAGAGGAGGCTGGACCTCAACAGCCAGTGTTCCAAAATCTGTGACAGCCAGAGTAGAGGCCAGCTCAGGGTGGGATGTGAGGGTACAGGAGCTACGTCACCCTGCCACGGGTCAGGGCTGCCAACACACACCTGGTGGGAAACACGTGCAAAACAATTGCCAGCCCTAAGCAAGGTTTGTGTGGGGGGAGGTCTTGCTGTAGCCCAGCCTTCTCAGGGATTACAGCTGGATATCCTCAGACCCAGTTTGAAGGGATTTTAAGATGGAAATGTGGCAAGAAGAGATGGGGGGAAATGTGTGAAGCAGGAAATGTGTCAAGACAGAAGCTGTTTTGTTGTTGTTGGCCATCCTGGAGCTTGAACTCAGGGCCTGGGCGCTGTCCTTGAGCTTCTTTTTTTTTGTCTTTTCTTTTTTGGCACTGGGGATCGAACCCAGGATGTTGCACTTGCTAGGCAAGTGCTTTGCCACTGAGCTACATCCCAGCCCGTCCTTGAGCTTCTTTTGCTCAAGGCTAGCACTCTACCACTTGAGCCACAGCACTACTTCTGGCTTTTTCTGTGCATGTGGTACTGATGTATTGAACCCAGGGCTTCATGCATGCTAGGCGAGCATTCTACCACTGAGCTTCTAAGAAAACATTTTTCAAATCCCAGTCCAGGGAACCCATTAAGATCCCCAGGGAGGCAGCTGGAGGAAGTGGTATATAACTGTAATCCCAGCCCTGAGGAGGCTGAGTCAGATTGGAAAGACTTCAAAGCTAACCTGAATGTAGTAATAAAGGCATTGGTGACTAGCCAAGGCATAAAAGTCCAGAAAGTCTGTTAAGACTCACCTCCAAGGGCTGGGAAGATGGCTCAGTGGTAGAGTGCTTGCCTTGCGTGCATGAGGCCCTGGGTTCGATTCCTTAGCACCACATAAGCAAAAAGAAAAAAGCCAAAAGTGGCACTGTGGCTCAAGTGGTAGAGCACTAGCCTTGAGCTGAAGAGCTGAGGGACAGCGCCCAGGCCCAGAGTTCAGGCCCCACGACCGGACCCCAAAAAAAAGAAAAAAAAAGACTCACCTCTAAGTAACCAGTAAAAAGCCAGAAAAGGAAGGGCCAGATGCTGGTAGCTCACTCCTGTAATCCTAGCTTTTCTCTATCTAAGGACTGTGATTTAAAGCCAGCCCAGACAGGAAAGTCTGTCAGATTACCTGGGCTGGTATTGAACTGTAGTCTCCTGACTAGTTAGGATTACAGGTATGAGCCACTGATGCCCAACTCCAGGACACTTGTATGTCCAATGAACCTCTAGAAAACCGGAAATGGCGCTGTGGCTCCAATCACTAGAGTGCTGGCCTTGAGTGAGAAAACTTGGGGGCAGTAGGCAGGCCAAGTTCATGCCCCAGGACGGACAAAAAAAAAAAAACTGGTGGGCTCTAATGGTGGAGCTGCAGTCCCAGCCTCCGTTCCCACACAGCCCAGGGGAGCGGCTGGGATCCCGGGTGAGGTGGGTGACTCCAGCCAGCTGCACAGGCTCACTTCACCTCACAGTCCCCAGGCATGGGTGGCTGCAGGCAGGCCAGGTTGGCTTTACTACCTCCTGGCCTAGCCTCGTCAACCTGATCATGCACGACCTCTTCCGCTCATGACAGGGCCACTCAAGGGCCGCCTGGCTTTGAGGCAGCACTGGGGTGACTGACAGACTGGCCTCCAGCAGCCAGGCTCACAAGGTCAAGTCCACAGTGCCCCAGGGACCTGACCACCCTTTGCCAAGGCTGGTCATGGCGCATCTACGAGCGCTCTTGAGAAGGGGCCCCCAAGCCTCCAGCCGGTCTTCACCATTTTTTGTTTTTTCTTTGTTGGTTGTGGGACTTGAACTCTGGGCCTGGGTGCTGTCCCTCAGCTCTTCAGCCCAAGGTGAGCGCTCTACCACTTGAGCCACAGCGCCACTTCTGGTTTTCTCATGGTTTATTGGCGGTAAGAGTCTCATGGTCTTTCCTGCCTGGGTTGGCTTCGAACCTGGATCCTCAGATCTCAACCTCCTGAGTTTCACTGATTTTTGTCTTGCTTCCTGTCTGGGCTGGCCGCTGTGGGGATCTCCTGTGTTGCCTCCCTCCCAGCCTCCCCCTGGGGATGGAGCCCCTACCCTTTGCCGCCCATGTTCCTGTCCACGAGGGTCTCCAACTCCTGCTCAGCCCCTAGTGGCTGACAGGAGTGAGCTCAGAAGCCTAGCTTTTGTCTGTCGTGTCAGATCTGCACCAGGCCAAGGCAGTGCCCCACTAAGCTCCCCCTCCCCACAGCCGCTTAGGCCAGGGGCTTGGGACCTGCCTTCAAGTGTCTCAGGAGTGTGGAGAGAACACCGGGCAGACGTGGTCAGGGCTCAGGCCAGTCCCACCGCCGGCTCTCCCGAGTGAGGAGAGGAGGGCAGGGAAGGCCCCTTTCCCAGCCTTGGCAGCGTTGGGACCCTGGGACTACAGGGGGGCAGAGGAGACGGGAGGCGCCCACAGGGAGAGCAGAGGTGTGTGGGGAGGCTGTGGAGCCATGGCCCAGCAGCAGCCTGCCCGTCCACCCAAGCTCCCACACAGAGCCTCCTTGGTCCCCATGGCATACAAAGGACCACAGAGGATCTTTGGCAGGAACACGGGGCTGAGCAGGCCCGCCCCCAGCTCGCTCCAGGCTCGGCTGAGGCTGCTGCTTGCGAGCACCCCAAGGTCATGGTCAGGTGCCCCATACAAGCCCTCCCCCCACCTGCCTAGGTTCTGGGTCACGTCAGGTGCCCCTCAGGCTGTAGGCGGGGCCTCCCCTCCTACCGTCTGCCAGCTGCCGTCAGCAGCTCAGATCCCCTTCACCTGAGCCGAGGTGTACACTGTGGGCTAAAACTGCCAGCACCTAAACACAGGAACTGCGCATCCAATCCCGAGGCCGTACTCCAGCCCTGGGCCTGAGAGGCCTGACCAGACACCACCGGTGGTGGGGCCGCAGTGGGCAAGACCCCACACAGGGGCACTGATACTCGGCAGACCCTCCAAAGCCCACCTGGGTGGGGTGGCATGAGCCGCCTGGCAAGGTCATGGCGACTAACCCAGCTGGCCCTTCACACCACCATGCCGGGCACACTGCTTCAAACATCCCGAACCGTGTATTTTTTCAGCAGCCACAGGAGGCCACGTCAGCTCGGCAAGTCCCGGGTCCGCTCTGTGCTCCTTACACGGGCAGGGGCGGCCCCTCCCCCAGCCACGGGAGACATGTCCACCCCTCCACCCCGCCAGCACTGGCTGAGAGCTTCCACCAGCAGCTCTGTCCCCTAGGCTTCCCCAGGAGCTCGGTGCTGGGGGCAGGGCAGGGGAGGGAGGGGCCTCAGGTGGGTCATGGGACCCCAGTCCACAAGTCCTCAGAGTGGGGCTACTCCAGAACCACCGTGCCCCCCACGGCTTCCAGGGCTGCCTTGATCTTCTCAGCCTCAGCTTTGGCGACATTAGCTTTGATTTCCTGGGGCAGGGACTCTACCAGTTTCTTGGCCTGTCAAAGACAACAAAATCAGAACTTGGGGGCTCTGGGCTGCCACGAGCAAGCCTACCTAGAAAGGCTCAGCCCCCGGGGACGGTCGAGGGACCCATCTCCAAGGCACAGGGGTCGCACCTGCACGAGGTTTATGCCCTGGATGTAGTTCTTGATCTCCTTGATCAGTTTCACTTTGTCCACAGGCTTTGCTTCTGTCAGGCGGACGGTAAAATGTGTCCGTTCTTTCTGCGTGGGAAGGACTTCTTCCTCTGCTGCCTTGAGGAGCAGAAAAACAAGGTGAGAAGATGGGGTAAAGCTGACACGCCTGGTGTGGGGTTGCCAACAGTGTGCAGGTGAGGGCCAGGCACACTTCTGGCTTCCAGTCCTCATGGGCCATCTTTTTCTTTTTTTTTGTCAGTCCTGGGGCTTGAACTCTGGGCTGGGCATTGTCCCTCAGCTCTTTAGTTCAAGGTGAGTGCTGTACCGCTTGAGCCATAACACTACTTCCTGTTTTAGTTCACTGGAGATAAGAGTCTCAGGGACTTTCCTGCCTGGGCTGGCTTTGAACCGTGATCCTCAGATCTCAGCCTCCTGAGTAGCTAGGATGACAGGCGTGAGGCACCGGCGGCTGGCTTTCATGGGTCATCTTATTAGCAGCCAGTTTGTTCCCTTGTGTGTCTGTCAGTGTCAACCTGACTGCTTCACCAGAAACATTTCCATGTCGCCACAGGGAAATGCTATGACTTGAGCCTCACGCTTCTGATTTCCTGACATGACACTTGACCTCCCTCATCCTTAAGAACTGTAACTAGGGGCTGGGAATGTGACTTACTGGTAGAGCACTTGCCTAGCACGTATGAAGCCCTGGATTTGATTCCTCAATACCACATAAATAAAGCAAGAAGTGGTGCTGTGTCTCAAGTGGTAGAGAGCTAGCCTTGAGCACAGAGAAGCTCAGGGACAGTGCCCAAGCCCTGCCCTGAGTTCAAGCCACAGGACTAGCCAAAAAAGAAGAAGAAGAAGAAAAAGAACTGCAACTTACAGGAGAAGAAAAACACCACCCAACCAAATACTGGGGAAATACAGTACCACAGCAGTCCTCACCCAAGTGCAAGTCTGTCACTAACAAATGAAAATGGCTTTACCCTCCAACCTTAGCAAGCAAGGACAACAGGACAGATGGGTGTGTGGTTCCTAAAGCCCCAATGCCATCATGTTGTGTGGCCCAGTGGGGGTAAGCAGGTTGGGGCCCACTTCTGGTTATTAACAGAACCCTCTTCTTTCTCAGAGATTCCAATATAGACTATGGCACACACTGGAATCTCACCGTGGCTCAAACCTACCCAGCCTTTCAAACCACTGTCCTGCCAAGCACTGAACATTGAGGGCAAGCAGGTGGTGGCCTGGGATCCTGGGCAGGGAGGACCCGGGGGGGGGGGTAGGTAACCAAGAAGCACCTGGAGCTGCTCAGGCCCCCAGCCAGGCTCACCTCAGGGGCTGCTGCGGCAGGGACAGCACCGGGCATCATGCCGCCCATTGGCACGAGCCCCACATCCTGGATCTTCAACGTTTTCTGTGGAACAGAGAAACAGCAGAGAATGGAGCAACAGGCCGGGCCGGCCCTGGCCTCCGGGCAAGCGTTTTATCTATTTTTCGGAAACACGCGGGCCCCCATCTGTGGTCTGTGAGGCTTTCCCGCTACCTTCAGGAGCTCGTTGAGGTCTGAGATCTCCAGGAGCGTGAGGCTGGCGATGTCCTGCACCAGCTGCTGGATCTTGGGCGGGTACTCCTTGGGGGCGTTGTCCAGGGGCGCCCCGGCGAGGGCCTCCCCCCGTCGGTGGCTGCTGCTCCTCATCTGCCGCGCGGCGCACACACAGGGCACCTGTTGTCTAGCCCCCGGCCCGCGGAAACAGCCGTCACCCCGGGGCGGACCTGGGGGCGCAGACCAGGCCCCCCACCTCCGGGGCCACGGCGCGCGGCCCAGGCGGGGCCGTGCTTCGAGGAGCCTCGGGAACCCGCGAGAAGCGAGGCTTCGCCCTGCCTGAGTTACGTTAGCACGGCGGGTGCATTCACCTGCCCGGGGCCCCGAAAAGCGGGGGCCACGGGCCGCGCCCCGGCGCGCACGGACGGAAGCAGAGGCCGAGGGGACCGGGCGCCAAGGTC